CGAAATAGTTGTACTCATTTACTTGAAGATTTCGATATCCAGTTTTTGGGTTGATTTTGAGACCCCGGTTTTTTTTTTGATAAATTTAAAACAATCTTAAGGTATTCCTGTTTGGAGAGAATTTGAAAGTGCTTTGGAGCCTCTAGAGTCATATATTATAATAATTTAATTAAATTTCTGAAAGGATAAGTCATTTGCCAAAATCACTTTTATTTTAGCAAGTGCTAGCCCCGCCCACCCATCCTCTCTTTTTTTAGAGGATATTTTCTTTGCCAAAATCAGTTTCACCTTAGCAGGTACTAGCCCCGCCCACCCACCGTCTTTTTTCTTAGAGGGTATATCATTTGCCAAAATCAAAACCTTAAGAATTTTAGAATTTTTTGAAAGGTTTGAATTTTTAGAATATCTACAATCTTAAAATTGTGTAAACTTTTGAAATTTTGGGATTCAATATTTTTTTATTTTCTTTTAAATTTTGGGAATTTTCGTAACTTGCAAGATTTTCAAAATTTCCAGAATGTGCAGATTTTGCTAATTAACCAAATTTTTCAGATTTTCCGAAGTACACAAATGACCAGAATTTCCACATTTTTCAAAATTTCAAAAATTATCTGGTGCAGTTACACCAGAATTTTGAAATTCAAACTTTACCAATATTTTCAAGATTTCTAGGTCTACCACATTTTTCCCACACTTTCTAAATTTGTTCAAATTTTCTAAAATTTATAAATCTTTGGAATTTTTGGAATCTCTGGAATTTTTAGTCTCCAAGATTTATAAAATAATAATTAGAGTGTTCAAGGCCTTCAGTGTTTTTAGGATTTATAAAAATTAAAGAACGCATTTTTCCGATGTTTACAATTTTTAGGTCTTTAAGATTTTGTTTTCTTTAAAGTCTTTGGAGTTTTTAAAATCTTCGGTATTTTAAGAGTCCACGCGATTTTTTCACCCATTTTCGAAATAGTTGTACTTATTTTCTTGAAGATTTCGATATCCAGTTTTTGGGTTGATTTTGAGACCCCGGTTTTGTTTTTTTGAAAAATTTAAAACAGTCTTAAGGTATTCCTGTTTGGAGAGAATTTGAAAGTGCTTTGGAGCCTCTAGTGACATATATTATAATAATTTAATTAAATTTCTTTAAGGATAAGTCATTTGCCAAAATCACTCTTATTTTAGCAGGTGCTAGCCCCGCCCACCCACCCTCTCTTTTTTTATAGGATATCTCCTTTGCCAAAATCAGTTTCATCTTAGCAGGTACTAGCCCCGCCCACCCACCCTCTTTTTTCTTAGAGGGTATGTCATTTGCCAAAATCAAAACCTTAAGAATTTTAGAATTTTTTGAAAGGTTTGAATTTTTAGAATATCTGCAATCTTAAAATTGTGTAAACTTTTGAAATTTTGGGATTCAAAATTTTTTTATTTTCTTTTAAATTTTGGGAATTTTCGTAATTTGCAGGATTTTCAAAATTTCCAGAATGTGCAGATTTTGCTAATTAACCCAATTTTTCAGATTTTTCGAAGTACATAAAATAATCAGAATTTCCACATTTTTCAAAATTTCTAAAATTATCAGGTGCAGTTACACCAGAATTTTGAAATTCAACCTTTACCAATATTTTCAAGATTTCTAGGTCTACCACATTTTCCCACACTTTCTAAATTTGTTCAAATTTTCTAAAAATTATAGATCTAAATCTTTGGAATTTTTGGAATCTCTGGAATCTTTAGTCTCCAAGATTTATAAAATAATAATTAGAGTGTTCAAGGCCTTCAGTGCTTTTAGGATTTACAAAAATTAAAGAACGCATTTTTCCAATCTTTACAATTTTTAGACCTTTAAGATTTTTGTTTTCTTTAAAGTCTTTGGAATTTTAAAAATCTTTATCTTTCTGAGAACGAAAAGAATGTTAAAAGCAAGGAAGAAGATAGAGCCACGCGACCCCTCTGTTCGATCTTGTTTCAGCATCGCCACCTCCCCAGGATCCGAAGAAGCCCCCGTCCGATGAGGAGCCAAGGTCCAGCTGGCGCCCGAGCAACCGCAGCCGCAAATGTACTTATGTATATCTTGTAGATACTAAAATTTTAACCAAAACTTAACAGGTCATCCACATCAAAAATGTGACGACGTCGTTTCAAAATTCAGTTATTTTTTTTTATTCCTCCATTCTGGACTATCCAGTTTTCAAAAATGAAATCAAATCGGTACAAATATTTGAAAATCAAAAATTTAACAAAATTGCCATCTTGCAGATAAACATTCACAAGAACAAGCATGAAAAAACGACCTACATGATGTCAATTTATGTTTCAAGTTCATGATTGCATCGAAATGAGTTCACAAAAATCATAGTTGACCGAATTCAATACAATTAAAATCGAAATAAGGTGGTTTCGGGAAACACTTGGCGTATTTCGACACCAAATGTTCAAATTCAAGCTACAAAAGTAAACCTGTAAGAAAATATTAAAGCCTTTCCGTTTTCGAGTCCACAATGATATTAATTTAACGGATGATAATTTTCAAGGTCCTTTTTCAAAAGGATCGCTGTTTAAGATTAGTTTAAATACGACGACAGTTAAAAATCTTAACATGATTTATGAATTTACAAACAACAAAACGAATTTGCCAAATTTTCACAGCATTTCAAATTAGAAAATCGCTAATTAACTGATTTCACACTAATTATAGTCGTTAAGTGGGACAGTGGCGTCGAATGCGATTCATTTTTGCGTCGAATTCATTTAAGTTTTCTTTGCCACAAAATATTTCTTCGAGTTTTTTTCGTTTTTGTTTTATTGTAGCAACGTCTTACGTTTCTAGTCCATCATTTACATTTTCTGCGAGAAGTACCAGGATAAATGACCTTTGTCGTCGCGCATTATTTTAGAGCAAAGCTCTAAACAGCACACTCTAATGCGTGGTGTCTTATTTTTTTTAATTCCTCGGAGGTGAAAATGCATATGCTGCTCATGTAGCCGCAGAAAAGTAAAAAAAGTCCAAGTATGCGCAATGCACAGCATTAAAACACCTCCTTTTTTCTAATTAAATATGTATATAGTGTCCCTTGAAATGCAAGAAAGTTAATTATACATTTTACACATGCTCCTCCAGGATGAGAATTTTTTAACGTGGGGAATCTATTCTATGTGAGCTTAGTTTTTGATTGTGGTTAATTACATTTCCGCTATAAAGTTTTATTGGACGTTCCTCTTGAAGCAGCTAACTGATGTACTTTCTGATTGCGTAGATTTCATTACCCCAGGATATTGGAATTATTTGAAATAAAATCGGTGAGCCGAGGCGACCAATGGAATCGCTCAAATTCGAGTTAATTGCGTTGTCGGCGTTTGTTTTTTCCTTCAAAAGTCGTAGATTTTTACAATACAGAGAGGTTGACGAGTTTTGCTTTGAGCAACTCTTTAACCGAACAACGTTTTAGCCACACGTTATGCGAGCGTATTTCGGATTCCAGTTATTGTTTATGACAGGCTATATAGTGAAGGGAGGAAAATAATAGCCCCTCATATTTTTAAATTCCAGTGTATATTATATTGATCATGTGTGCAGTGTGCGTGAGTGGTACACAGGCGGCAGAGATCATGTTTCACCTATTATTTAATGCTTGCAGACTATGAACCTCTCCACTCGTAAATTAATTAAGGAAATATCTTTGTTTTTGTGCTTACTTCCTCACAAATCTGCATCCAATTTTGTAACTTGTCGCAAAGCTCGTCAGCGCTTTCCACCTTCATACTTTAAAAATATAATTAATCAAATTTAGACGACAGTTGTGAGTTCGAGGGAGAAAATCTAGTTGTATTTCTGAACACCTGGCTTGCGATTACATATTGTTTTACTGTTGTTTCTAAACTAGAGTTCCTACATCTTATACTAACTTATAGATAAGGGTTGAGCAAACTTGTGTTAATAAGATAAGTTTTCGCACGAACTCTATTTATTTAAGTAATTGAATTTACTTTTAAAAAGCTGGTCGAAGGTTATTTCGATAGAACTTTCCTCGCCCCGGAAGCGAAGTTTATTTTTTCAGTTTTTCGATCTGCAATTTTTCGACTTTTTAAGTTTCAATTTTTCAGTTTTCCAGCTTTCGTACTTTTAAATTTTTATAGTTTGAAATTTCCCGAGTTTTCAATTTTTTTCAAGACTGATTGTGGCAAATTACATACACTCTAAAAAAATAGAGGGTGGGCGGGCGGGGGTAGTGTTTGTTTAGATAAGACTGATTTTGGTAAATGACTGAACAATATTAAGAGTAATCACTGAAATGAAGAAAGGGTGGGTGGGCGGGGCTATTGCTTGCTTATAAAAGATTCTATAGGAAAAAGTTAAATTTAGCCCCGCCCACCCACCCGTTGTCTCATTTTTTCTTCTGAAATAAGAAATAAATCTTATAGCAAATAGTACAACAAAAAATTACGATTAACGCATATTTTTCTTTTTTTAACAGCCTATGCATTCTAGTAGTTCCTATTCCCATTCTAAAAGGGACATATAATTAACCCCGCCCACCCACCCCTCCCCATTTCAGTGATGTATTTTATCAGATCAGAATGAAACATGGATCTTATACTCAATTCACTAGAAATAAGATCGTTAGAATGACAACAGCGTGGGTGGGCGGAACGATTCGGTTTTTTAATGTTTTGAGTTTATAATATTTCAATTTTAATTTTTTTACTTTTTCGTTACTTCAAATTTTAGAAATTTGATTTTTCAATTTTTCGTTTTTGTTTTTTCAGTTTTTAGATTTTGCAATTTTCGATTTAAAAATTTTCAAGAACGAAGGACGAAAAGAGCGATGGACGAAAAAGCACGAAGGACGAAAAAGGGCGAAGGACGTTTAAAAGGACGAAAAGGACGAAGTATGAAAAGGACGAAGGACGATGTGGACGAAGGACGAAAAGGCCGAAAAGGACGAAGGATGAAAAGAACGAAGGACGAAAAGAACGACGGATGAAAAGAACGAAGGACGAAAAGGACGATGGACCAAAAAGGACGAAGGACGAAAAAGGACAAAGTACGAAAAGGACAAAAGACAAAAACGACAGAGAATGAAAAAGACCAAGGACGAAAAGGACGGGGGATGAAGGACGAAAAGGACGAATGGCGAAAAGGACGAAGGGCGAAAAGGACGAAGGACGAAAAAGATATAGGGCGAAAAGGACTAAGAACGAAGGACGAAAAGGACGAAGGACGAAAAAGACGAAGGACGAAAAGGACGAAGGACGAAATGGACGAAGGACGATATAGACGAAGGACGAAAAGGACGAAAGACGGAAAGGTCGAAGGACGAAGGACGAAAAGGTCGAAGGACGAAAAAGGACAAAGGACGTTTACAAGGTCGCAAAGGACGAAGGACGTTTAGAAGGTCGCAAAGGACGAAGGACGATATGGACGAAGGACGAAAAGGCCGAAAAGGACGAAGGAAGAAAAAGACGAAGGATGAAAAGAACGAAGGACGAAAAGGACGAAGGATGAAAAGGACGATGGACGAAAAAGACGAAAAACGAAAAAGGACGAAGGACGAAAAGGATGAAAGACAAAAAGGACAAAGTACTAAAAGAACGAAAAGGACGAAGGATGAAAAGAACAGAGGATGAAAAGGACTAAGGACGAAAAAGACGGAGGACGAAGGACGAAAAGGACCAAGGACGAAAAAGACGAAGAACGAGTAAAACGAAAAGGACGAAGGACGAAAAGGACGGAGGACGAAAAAAACGTAGGACGAAAAGGACGAAAGACGAAAAAAACGTAGGACGAAAAGGACGAAGGACGAAAGGAACGAAAAGGTCGAAGGACGAAAAAGGACGAAGGACGAAAAGGACGAAGGACGAAAAGGACGAAGGACGAAAGGAACGAAGGACGAAAAAGACGAAGGACAAGGAGGACCAAGGACGATATGGGCAAAGGACGAAAAGGACGAAGGAGGAAAAGTACGAAGGACAAAAAGGCCGAAGGACGAAAAGGACAAAGGACAATGGGCGGAGAACGAAATGGACGGAGGACGAAAAAGACGTAGGACGAAAAGGATGAAAGACGAAAAGGACGAAGGACGAAAAAACGAAGGACGAGAAGGACGAAGGACGATATGGACGAAGGACCATATGGACGAAGAACGATATGGAAGAAGAACGAAAAGTATGAAAAGGACGAAGGATGAATAAAACGAAAAAGACGAAGGACGAAAAGGACGAAGGATGAAGGACGAAAAGGACGAAGGACGAAAAAGATGAAGGACGAAAAGAACGAAGGACGAAATGGACGAAGGACGATATAGACGAAGGACGAAAAGGACGAAGGACGAAAAGGACGAAGGATGAAAAGGACGAACCAAGAAAAGGACGAAGGACGAAGGACGAAAAAGACGAAGGAAGAAAAGGACGAAGGATGAAAAGAATGAAGGACGAAAAGGATGATGGACGAAAAAGGACGAAGATCGAAAAAGGACGAAGGACGAAAAGGACGAAAGACAAAAAGGACCAAGTACGAAAAGGACCAAGGACGAAAAGGATGGAGGACGAAGGACGAAAAGGACCAAGGACGAAAAAGACGAAGGAAGAGTAAAACGAAAAGGACGAAGGACGAAAAGGACGAAGGACGGAAAGGACGAAGGACGAAAAGGACGAAGGGCGAAAAAGACGAAGGACGAAAAGGACGAGGGACGAAAAAGACGAAGGACGAGAAGGATGAAGAACGAAATGGACCAAGGACGAAATGGACGAAGGACGATTATGGACGAAGGACGATATGGACGAAGGACGAAAAGGACGAAGGAGAAAAAGCACGAAGGACAAAAAGGTCGAAGGACGAAAAGGACAAAAGACGAAGGGCGGAGAACGAAATGGATGGAGGACGAAAAGGACGGAGGACGAAAAAGACGTAGGACGAAAAGGAGGAAGGACCAAAAAACGAAGGACGAGAAAGACGAAGGACGATATGGACGAAGAACGAAAAGGATGAAAAGGACGAAGGATGAAAAAAAACGTAAAGAACGAAGGACGAAAAGGACGATGGACGAAGGACGATATGGACGAAGGACGAAAAGGACGAAAGAGTTTTGTCTCTGGTATGGTTGACATACTGAGTTACCATGCTGTTTTGGCTTATTCTTAACCCTGCTCCTGAAGATCCCACTCACGAAAGTGCGAAACGTTGAGCCCAAAAACTCAATTTACACGGTTCCATCCCGGAAAACGATCATGTATTAATTTTTCGATGTTTCGATTTTATTTTATTTCACCTCAAAAATGAAAAAACAGAAAAGTATGAAATGAAAACTTTGAAAAATCTAAAGATTGAACATCAAGAACCTGAAAAATTGAAGAAACGAAAAACTCAGAGATCGAACAATCAAAAATTGAGAAACTTCAAATTGAAAAAGGCCAAAATCGAAAAACGAAATATGGATTCTAAAATAAAAGCATTGAAAATTAAAGAAATCGGAAAATCGGATAACTGAAAATTCAAAAATTGCAAAACTGAAAAAAGAAAGATTGAAAATTTGAAAACTTAAAGCAATGAAAAATCATAAAATTCAAAGAAACATTGAAAAAATAAACGCCCTGAAAAAAGGAGTAACTGTGATACAAAATCGAGGAAATGAACGTTAAAAATGGAAAAAATGAAAAATAAAAATCAAAAAATGGAAAAATCGAATAATCAAAAATTGTAATATCAAAAAATTGAAAAAGGAAAAAAATTAAAGCTGAAAAACGAAAAACTATGAAACCGAAACATTGAAAAATGGAAAAATTAAAGAAAATAAAAAAATCAAAAATTGTGATATCAAAAAATTTATCGAAGGTAAATAAATCCACATTTTGTGAAAAATTATACGATTTGATTTTTCAAGTAAGTATATTCCCAAATTTTCAAGAAAATTGAGTGAGTCTTTTTTGATTTATTTCATAAAATAAATTGCCTCATTCATCAATTTGTTTGAGTCACCTTGTATAAGTAATTCTAAAAACAATGACTGCATAGATAAACCGCAAGGATTTATTAAGCCAAATTTTTAGATGACGTCATCAGTTTTTGGGAAGGGATAAACGAATAAATTGTAATTAACGATTTACAACGTTTGCAAAAATTTGTAGCATTTAGTTTTTCAGTTTCAAAGTCAAATTGTAAAATATTGTTATACAATTTTGATTTTTTTTTCCAAAAATCTGAATGTCTAGGCTGAAAACTCAACACGGTTCATACATCGCAAAAAGCACCTCTTTTTATAACATTAAAAAAATATATTATTGTAAATTTTGGAGATGACGTCATTCCATTGGTAGTTATTGAAAAAAAGCGGCGCACTGATAAGCAACGTGCAAAAATTTTTTGTTTATTTACGATAGGTTGACAGATAATTAACATTTAACTTGACAACATTTCCTAGACTTACGTTTTATTGAATTAATAGTGACCATGGATTTGCTATTTCTGTTTCGTTTGTGGAAATATCCCGAGAATGAAGCCAGACGTTGAAATTCTGCCAACGCCATTGTTTTTATCTTATGGGAATTTTTAACCGAAGTTGGTGTAAAATACAACCTCCCCGACTACCAGTTCTAAAAGTTTCCTGGAGTCCGAGAACCAATTACTGGCCACGAAGAAACTAACTTTTCTTTTCAGAAGCATACTTTTTTAATGGCATTAGTATCAACATTACCAACAAATTTCGGTAAATTCGTTCATTTACATTCATAGTGATGCAGGTTTTCATTTCTTTCGTTTAGTTTTGTAAATGAGCCGTTTATTGAAATTTGTGTATAAATGGCGCTGTATCGATTTTCACGCTAAAGTTTGCAATTTCCTCCTGGCTCATCTAGTTGGAGAAAAAACCGCCCTCTTAAGGCCACATTGTGGTGGCCTGTTGGGGATTTTTGCAACAACGAAACAATCAGCCTACTCTTACGTAATTATTGATTTAAAATTAATTGAGGAATTCCATCTCCGCACAAATCTAAAGCTAATATAGGTAGCTAAATCCGATGGAGCCAAAGCGCTCTGGGAGTTTGCTTCCAAAAACATATAATTAATAAACTTTTTATTTCATTTCGCTGTAGAAATTTACAGAACTAGGAGGAGGCTTTGATGTATCTGATATGTACTAATTATTTACATATACATTGAGCTCGAGGGCACGTGATGTTAGTTTCAGTTACTGAACCTGGTTATTACTTTTTCAAAGTGCCTGCTGATACTCCGTAACGTAAGCATGATTAATAATTAATTGGCTAATTTTCGATAATGTAGAACACAATCCGTCTTAACCCTTATCACGCGCTTCTTCTCCTAATTACCCCCAAACTATAATTAACAAACTTTTTAGAACGTTCTCAGATATAATTTTACATAGGATAGAAGCAACCGAGCACTCGTACTTAATTAACAGAACTACTTCACTGGGCACCTAGATGTAGCGCTATGGTGTAATATTTATCGCCGAAACTTTACCACAATCATTCAACAATAAAAGTTCTGCCCATTATCATCTTAAAACAAATTACAACTTAATTGAGACAAAGACCGAGAACTCCATAAATTCGACGCTCTCGCACATTTAACCACTGACGTTTTTCGCAAGAATTCAAATAATACGACGTGTGCAGATGAACTACCACTTTTAGCTTCAAATTAGTTGGTAATTGAACGCATCCTGTGCCAATTCTTTCTCTACTGATTACAAATTAATGAAGAAAATTGCATTATTGTACACTTGCCGCATCACAAAGTACCAAAAGCTAATTTTATAGTCCATCACAAACCCGGTGAAGTGTTTTTCACTCCTAGTCTTTGAATATAATTATCAAAGTTTCCGGAAGTATAATTCAATATAAACTACGCCTTGATGCACCTAACTAACAGTAATTACTTCAATGGACAATTGGATTTAGGTTAATACCGTCTTTACAGTGTCATTGATGTGTGAATGCTCCAATTCCTCTTACGCAACTACAATAGGGCAAAAATTACCTCGAAAGCTTTGATACTTCACTAAATTAATAAACAAATAAACAACGTTTGGATAATTTATTTTAGAAGAAAGTGTTTTCGAGGGTAATGAGTCGCTTGAAGACAATTGGACAAAGACGGTGTACCCACGAATTAGTAAATATACACCCGTGCGCTCAAAATAATTATATGTCTCGTGTGTACATGGGATTCTCGCTGTTTGTGTTCATTTCCCCCAATCGGGTATTTTCACGACTAATTTCCTGTTTTCTTGGCAGTCGGCGTCTGTCTGTCTGTCTTTTGACGGTTCCAAACTCTCAGAAATTTCTAAAACGAAAGCTATTTTTATGTTATTATTGAAACTTATCTGTGAACTTACACATTGATGAAGGATTGAGACATAACGACTAGGATTAAGAACCAAAAAGCAGCGCACTGATAAGTAACGTTATACAACCGAAAGAATACTACAAGCTGAAGAACAAATTTTGGAACGTGTCGAAGAAAAGCCCCACATCAGCATTCACCGACTTGCAATTTGCAACTAAACTTGGAGTTTCTCACAGTTTGTAGTGCATATTAAAAGAACAAGGCTCATATCCATACCACGTTCAAAAAGTACAAGCTTTGGAGCCCGCTGATTTTTCACGTCGTGGAATTTACTGCGAATCGTTAAAGCAATATCGTGAACGCCCTTACTTTTTAAATTGCGTTGTGTTTACGGATGAAGCAGGATTCACAATACTCACATTTGGTCCGAAGAAAATCCACACGCTCGTCAAGAAGAACGGTATCGTAAATGACCGCTTAGTTAAACCTTATATTTTACCAAACAAACTAGCAAACAACAGTGTGTTGGAAGAGCAGCTATAGAAAAGCTTGGCCTCCGCGTTCACCCGATCTCAATCCGTGTGATTTTTGTCTGCGGGGCTGGATCAAGTAGTTAAGTGGATATTAAGAAAAAAGGCAAAATATAAGCCCCGCCCACCCACCCTATCTCAATTGTGATAATTTTTTTTAATCGTCGAGGGCCAAAGGAGCGGAATTTAATTGCAAAATCCTTATTATTTGCCTGATCTACATAGTAATGAAGTTTTCATTCGTTGGCGGACCTGGGGGCGGAGCCAAATTGCAAAATCCATTTTTTCCTTACAAAAATTTACCATTTGAAACGTGTTTTAAGTTTGTAAGAATAAAAGAAATCATCATAATCGAG